ACCCCGTAATTAAAGCAGCCTTGAGCTGTCATTTTACACTTATGACCCTCGGGGTTGGGAAGACTTCAGAAGAGAGGGCGCGCTCATTAATCCCTGGCAGGAAGAGTCCGAAAAGGGACCTGTAATACCTAGTAGGGATTCTTAAACGTGATTTATGCCCCTTGACCCAGGAATCCACTCCTTGGTGTTTACTCAAAGGAAAGGCAGATAATTCAAACACCATGTGGCTGAAGCGGCCCTCGGGTGCATTGTTCACCCCAGTCAGTAACTAAGTGGGACACAGCTGAAGTGTCCTCACAATGGGGGCAGAGGGCTGGTGAATGACGATGTAGCGACCCCGTGGGATATGCTGTGACTCGTACTGACGATGCTAATTGGAGAGGCGTGGTGGACACATGAGAAGCTGTTTATGACAAGTCGGGATGATAGAGCAAAATGGAAAATGTTTTATAGGCTGTGAAAGTCGCTCCGTGCGTGCACACGCAAGCACACGCACGCACGTCCAGGGTTCTGTATGTAAAAACCCACGCGGCCGCTTCCAGGAGTGGACGGTGGGTGGGGGTGGGTGGGGGCGTGCAGGAGTGTTCAGCGGGGCCCTGCCCCTGTGTGTGTGACCCGCAGACGTGGATGAGTGTGAGCGGGAGGATAATGCAGGCTGCGTGCACGACTGCGTCAACATCCCCGGCAATTACCGGTGCACCTGCTACGACGGATTCCACTTGGCGCATGATGGGCACAACTGCCTGGGTGAGCACGTCCGGGTTCCCAGGCAAGAAGGGGAAGAAAGGGGGGAGAAAAGAGCCCCATCAGTGCCCCTTCGACAGTGGCCAGGCAGGGTGAGACGGTGAGTGGACCCTGCCCTGCCTGTGGATGGGTGACATCCGAGGTCAGAGAAGCTGCTGGGGCACCTCCCCGAGTGAGGGGCAGGTGCTGGGGATGAATGTGTCCGGCCGCAGCGGGGTACGGTAGGAGGGACACTGCTCCCGGAAATTCAGCTCCTGAACAAAAGGTTGGCGGTTCCGATCCACCAGGGGCACCTTTGAAGAAAGACCTGGAGACCTCCTTGAGAAAAGTCCGTCAGTCCCTCTGCCGCACGGGCGCTGGAGTCCACTCCATGACGGCTGGCCTTTCCTGTGCCCAGAAAGGGCTGCCGGATGGGTCCCCTTGAGAACTCGTGGGAAGGGCCGGGAGAGTCCTTAGCAGATGGTACATCACCGGTCAGAGGAGGGAATGGTGGTGAGGGCGGTGCCTTTCCAGGGGCTGATGGCTGGCCTGTCCAGGCTGGCTCTCCTGCCACCTCCACTCCTGGGGCTTCAAGCAGTCTTGGTCCCCTTCGCCACAAGAGCAGGAGCAGGCAAAGGAGACGCTAGGGAATTAAACTGAACTGTGGTCTCTGCCAAACCCACGGCCATGGGGTTGATTCTGACTCATAGGGACCCTCAGTGGGGTTTCTGAGACTGTAAGCCTTTACAGGAGCAGACAGCCTCACTGGTCTCCCTTGGAATAGCTGCTGGGTTTGAACTGCTGACCTTGCGGTTAGCAGCCCACTGCTTAATCCAAAGCACCACCCGGGCTCCTTCTCGTGGAAGATGGCTGCTCCCTGAGGGTCAGAACTGCAGAATTGTCAGTAGAGAAGGGGTGACAGGGAGGAGATATCAGCGCCCTGGTGGTTGCATGTTGGACTGCGATCCGCATGGTCGGCGGTTCAGAACCACCAGCCGCTCCTCGGGAGAAAGACTGGCCTTTCTACTCCCGTTGACAGTTGCGCTTCGGAACCCCACAGGGGGTCGCGCTGAGTCACGATGGCAGTGTGTTTGGAGTCTGGGCTCCCCAGAGTGCAGGCTCAAAATCTCAACTCTGTCCTTGGCTCTCTGGGGACCCCTGAGAAAGCTGTCCATGTTTGCCTCAGTTTCCTCCCGGAGAACTGATAGAAAGAGCTTGCCCAGGGTGGCCAGCCCACCAGGCTGGAATAGCTCAGACAGAATGCAGGCTCGGCCACGAGCAGGAGATGGCCGTGCGGAGAGGGCAGGGGCGTGGTGAGCGATGTGCAGAGCTAGGAATAGTGTGTTTCCAACAGGTGCATCGGGCCGGCAGGAGCCCGCCGGGCCTGAGCCCTGCTGCCCTTGGCCAGGATGGAGTTAGGCCCGCAGCAGATGGGAAGCGGGGCAGATAAGGCCCTAAAGAACCCAGATTTTACGCCTTCATTTGGGGACTAGTAGCCCCCAGGCTTCCTAGTCCAGGGCCAGCTGAGGAGGGCTGCAGACTTGGGAGAGCCCCAGTGACGTGATGGAGCCCCAGGGTGAGCTTGGCTCGCGGGTCTGGGGTGGTGGTTTGGGGGTGAGCCCACTGCTCCCCCTCCCCCTCTAGGGTGTGGCCTGGCAGTTCGTCCCCATCTCTTTTGGCCAAGCTGCCAGATTTTTGTTTTGTTAAACCAAAATAGGAGAAAGGCTAGGGGAGATGGCTGTGAGCCCAGGCCTGGGGGGAGGGGGAGGGGACCGGGCTATGGCCTGTCCTCAGAATGGTCCCTGCCCTACGAGAAGGCCAGGTTCTCCTGCCCCTTCCCCACCCTGCGCTCCAATCTCAGCACCATGGCACGGCCGTCTCCCAGGGCCTCTGGGTCTCTGACTGCACCACCACCGATTGGCAGCCTATTGCCACTCCCAGGCCCGGTCTCCATCTTTGTCTTCATTGCACCCCCAAGGCCCGATTTCAGCCGGTGAGGGCAGGGAGGCAAGTCCTCATCTAGAGGAGCCAGGCTCAGGTGCACTCCCCAGGCCCAGTGGGACGTCAGCTGGTGGGGGCTGGGCGCTGCCTGGCTTGGTCTAATGCTGCCTGTGGGGACTCACCGCCCCCTCTCCTGCACAGATGTGGACGAGTGCTCCGAAGGCAACGGCGGCTGTCAGCAGAGCTGCGTCAACATGATGGGCAGCTACGAGTGCCACTGCCGCGAAGGCTTCTTCCTCAGCGACAACCAGCACACCTGCATTCAGCGCCCAGAAGGTCAGCCCCACCGGACTGCCCCCTCCCTGCCTCCAGGTTCACCCTCACTTGTCCCTTAACCCGGTCACACCGGAAGGCCTCTGTGAACACTGCGTATCGGAACAAATTCACTTGGGGTTGGAATCGGGGTGGGGGGTGGCCTGTCCTGCCCCGGGCATCTGACAGCCCAAACGGGATGCCTGAGCAGAAACTAAAATACCTTATCCCTGGGGTTAGGTTGGGGGGGTCAGGCAGGACAGTAGGGTACATCTCTCTCTCTGTCTTTGCCCGCCCCGCTAGGCTGTGACTGCCCTGAGGCCAGGGGCGGTGTGGTCACCTTTGTGCCCCCAGCATTCAGTGCCTGCCTGAAGTGGGAGTGTAGTAATGCCCAATCAAACCCCAGGGCACACAGCTCATAGGGAGAATGCCCTCGCCCATCAGTCTCTGCCCGCAGTACAGAGCCAGTCACATCATCTCCTTCCCGACTCGACTGGAAGCTCCTTGCGGGAAGGGACCATGTCTTCCGTTCTTCTGGGCCTCCTAAACCCAGCCGGTATACCTGGCTGTCAGCCGCGCAGACGTTTGGGGGTTGTTGGAAGGATGGGGTGGTCGTGCAGGGTTTCGCTGGCAATGGCTGCTGGGTTATGCTTGTCCGGACCCAGTTCTGTAAGCAGAACCGGCCGCCAGTGAGGCGGGCAGAGCCAGGCCCCTCCCGTGAGTAACGGGAATTCTGGGCACTCCCCATTTTCCAGGCCCCCAGTGGCCCCTGCAGCTCTGCAGGCGCTCCGGACGCTGAACTTTCACCCCTCTTCTCCCCCTTTAGAAGGAATGAACTGCATGAACAAGAACCACGGCTGTGCCCACATTTGCCGGGAGACCCCCAAGGGGGGCATTGCTTGTGAATGCCGCCCCGGCTTCGAGCTCACCAAGAACCAGCGGGACTGTAAATGTGAGAGTGGTGGGCGGAGGTGGGTGGGGGGAGGCGGTGGGGCCGGGAGGGGAGGGAGCCGTGGTGCCCAGGGCACGGAGGCTGACAGGCTCCTGCCCCCTCTGTGCACAGTGACCTGCAACTATGGCAACGGTGGCTGCCAGCACACATGCGACGACACCGAGCAGGGCCCCCGGTGTGGCTGCCACGTCAAGTTTGTGCTCCACACCGACGGGAAGACGTGCATCGGTGGGTGATGCCAGGGGAGAGCCCAGTCCACCTGGGATGGGGCGGGGGCAGGGCCAGGGTGTGGAGCAGTGGTGAGGGGGTCGAACACCCAGGCAATGCCAGGCCTAGCAAGGGCAGCTCAACGAGGGTCTGAAGGGCGAGCCAGGCTCCCTCCATGCCCCAGACCCCCAGGAGCCTCACCCCCTTTCACCCCTGGACCTATGGCCAGTCTGCTGCCCCAGGCTGTGGTGGGGACTGGGGGCCTGTGGCAGCTTGGTCTGACTGGACTCTTGCTGGCCAGCCTGGTCCTCTGGTACTGGGCTGGGTGGGTGCTCTTCCCTGGGGCTACCAGCCCTGCCCTGACAGGTGAGGTTTCTTGGCTCCAGGTACTTTTCCTCTGTACCCTTCTTCTCCCACACCCTCACCCCCCTCTCCAGCCCCCGAATGCCTTCTTTGCAGTCCCCATTCCAGTGGGCCTCCTTGGTGCCCACCTGCTCACCAGCCCCAGCTGCCACCCCTCACCCTGGGCTGGAGCCCTCCTAACGCCTCTTCCTGAATTGCTAGGCTTTCCCTTACCCACTTCCAGTGGCACGCACGAGTTTAAACTGCACCATTCCTGAAGCTTCGTGCCTTGCGTCTTCCGGGCAGGCCTCTGACTTTGGGCTTGCGGAGTGTGGAGGAAGGTGGCAGGACAAGGTGGTGTCCCTCTGGAGGGGGGGAGATGGCCGGGGAAGCATTTGAGGCATGCTTGCTCTCTGGAAATGAGGGGGGTGGGGGGTGCAGGGTATGGACAGCCCTTCCTCTGGTGGCCTACGCCGTGCTGGGGACGGGAAGGCGTAGAAACCATCATTGTGTCAGGTGCAGGGTACCCCTGGCACCTAGCTACGCTGCCCACCTCCCACTTTCCCCAGACATAAGACAGGGCAGCGGGGGGCGCACAGGGACCTGCCCCAGGAGAGTGCACCCCACCCCGGTTTGAAAGTTCTCCTTGACCTTCGTGTCCGGCCCGGTGGGAGGAAATGATGCTGTCTGGGGCCATCGGTACATTCCAATTCGGGAGTTTGCGAGACTCGAGGCCGCGTCCCCACTTTGCTGACAGCAGCGTGCGGGGCGAGGGAGGGTTGACCTCTTGGCAGGAGTCATGCTTCTTTGAGGACCCCGGCAAGATAAGGCTTGGGCTCAGATAAGGCTTGGGCTCGGGCTGCTCTTGGGGGCCCCCAGGGCTCCTGGTTCTCCAGGGTGGAGACGGGTGCGGGGAGGAGGCTCCTGCCCAGGGTCTAAACAGCTTTTTTACGATGTCAAACAGGGGAAAGGAAGCTAGAGCAGCCGGGCCCCCCTCAGGCCATTTCTAATGGTAAATATGTCGCTCCCACCGCTTGCGCTCACCGGCTTGCTAGGGGCTTGCTAGGGGAAGGGCTAACTCGCAGGGGCTCCCACTAACTGCATGCCCATGGGCGCCAGCCTGCCAGCAGGGCTCCCGGGCCGGCAGGGCAGGCAGCCCAGGCACTGGAAGCCTGTGCCCTCCAGCAATGGCCTTGTCTTTGTCCTTCACTTTCTTCTGGCCTTCCTCTCTGCTCCCCCTTCCCACCCTCTTAACACCGCAGGCATCCGCCCCTCTCTCTGCCTTTCCACACAGCCCCAGCCCTAGCCAGCTGCACCGTGCCCACCATGCCCCCTGGGGGAGGAATAGGAGAGCGTTAGAAACCACCCCACAGTGGCCCACAGCCCTGGCTAACGCACCTGCTAATCACTAAGAGCATGGCCTCAGGTTCAGGCCCCGAGATTGAATCCTGGCTCTGACCCTTCTAACCGGCTGACCCCAGGCAAGCTGCTCTCCTCCCCGGCCCTCCGCTGACGATGCTGTGAGGCAGGGAGCACAGTCCCCTGGGGAAGAGATAGTGCGTAGTGCCTCCTGTGAACCCGTGGCTGAGGACACTGAGGCCTGGAGGGCAAAGGGTATGGGCCTACTGCTGACCCCATGCTGCCTGGGAGAGGGCTGTCCTTAGGAGTGGGTGGTGCTGCCCAGCTTCTGGGTCCAGCCCTGGGAGTCACAGTGTGCCAGCTCTGCTGCTACCCATCCTGGACTGCTCAGAAGCCACCCAGACTCGGGTCAGGCTCCTCCCCGGGACTTGGGGGTCATCTCCGTGTGCTCAGGCACTCATAGAGTATTGGCCGAGCCAGGAGCACAAAATCGAGGTTCCTTCCGCGGTTTGGAGGAACCTCAGGGTAAGCCATTGCGGGAATGGAACAGGAGATCCCACCATGACGGCTCCCCCGCCAGGCCCTGACCCAGGCAGAATCGGGGTGTCTGAGGGGCGATGGATTCGGGGACACACTAGCCGGATTCTGAGAACCACTTCCTCTCTCCCTCGCTGAGGTCTCTGGCTTGTGTCTCTGTGGTGGGAGGATTCTGGGCTTTCCCAGAGAATGATCAGTCTGTGGACGCCTCCCCACCTCCAACCCACCCCACCCACCCCCGGGAGGGCCATGCATACTGTTAGCTGAGGGTCTTCCCACCTCCAACCCACCCCACCCACCCCCGGGAGGGCCATGCGTACTGTTAGCTGAGGGTCTGCCTTGGGACTCAGGCCTCCCTCGCTCTCTGTCTCTCTCGGCTGTAGTCTAAGCCTGTTTTCTCCCTGCTTGGAATTCAGAAAGTAGGGGGGGTGAGTGACCCACCCCACACACCCACACCGACCCCTCCGTCTTGAGGGGCAGCGGGAGGAGGGCACTGGAGGAAGGTGTTTGGTTTATGGCGCTCCGGGCTCCTCCGTAACCCTTCCAGCCACATTCCTCAGAACCTCCTCTCCCCCTGGACTCTGTCCCCTGGGCCCCTCTCCTCCTGCCCCAGACAATACCCGCCACCCCACGGAGAAAGGAGCACACCACAAAGCCACCAGCCACCTCTACCTGGAACAACAAAAGGGCTTGAGGGCATGGGAAGCAGAGGGGAAGGGGCCCAGGCAGCGGCAGCGGCTGTCTGCTGCCCCTGAGGAGCCACCGGGCTTTGACCTGGGCTCCTCTGCAGGCCAGCTGGGCAGTGGCTCTGCAGGAGCAGATGGACTGACAGCCCAGAGCGGCTCTACCCGACCCACCTAGAGTGAGAGGACCCCACCACAGAGGTGGTGGGTGGAAGGAGAAGGAAGATGCTCCTTCCCTGGCCGCCGGGAGCACCCTTGCTTAGCGCCCCCCCCGCCTCCTGGCCCCAGCACATTCCTGCCTGACAGCTCTGGCTTGTACCTGCCTCACTGCGGCCCACCTTGTTTCAATCAAGGAGGGGGCAGGGAAGCCGACTGCTTGCTGCACTGTGAGGGGCTGGGGGTTGGGAGCGTCCTCTCAAGCTCCCTCGAAAGGGCCTGAGGCCTGCCCTCAGGTCTCTGGTCTCCCAGGCCCTGCAAGTTTAGGGGCTCCCCTGGTCAATAACCGTGTTCCCTGCCCCTGCCTCTCAGAGACCTGTGCCGTCAACAACGGGGGCTGTGACAGTAAGTGCCACGACGCAGCCACAGGCGTGCACTGCAGCTGCCCCGTGGGCTTCATGCTACAGTCCGACAGGAAGACCTGCAAAGGTAAGGGCGCGGCCAGCACGGCGGGCGCACAGACACCTTTGGCAGTGGGGTTGAGCTCCGACCTGAAATGGGGGTGAGGGGGTGGGTGGGGGAACTTACTAAGGGACCCTCCCCCTTGGGCCCCGACCACCTGATCCCCGGAGGCCATCCTAACTCTCTTCAAGGGTCAAGAAGAGCAGCTAGTTCCCAGGGCCCCTGCCCCTACCCAGCCTGGTTCCGCTGGGTTTCATGCTATAGGCTAACGAACCTGCCTTTCGCAGTTGCCCCCCGTCTGGGGGATATTTGAGGCCCGATTCTGGCGGAGTGAGGTCACAGGTGGGGGGTAACATTAGCCCCCATTCCTCAGCCTTTCCCCTGCGCTCTGGGCAAATCTCTCCACCCGCCAGGGAGAGCGGGGAGGCCGCTAGGAGCATGACCATGAGAGCCTGGCTGCCGGTGTTCAAATCCGGCCCTACCTCTCACTCGCTCCGAGATCACAGGCGCCTGACTTGGTTGCTCAGTGCCTCGGTGGCCCCACAGTCACCGTGCGGCCTGGGGTTTGTGGTGGGGGTTGAGCGAGCTCACCTCTTTGAGGGGCTTCAGAAACCACGTGGGACAGTGCAGTCTTTCCACACCATTGCTCGCTTCGCCGCGAACTAACGGGCTTAGAGCCCTTTGTTGTGTGGGCTGTTACCATGGCATAGAATCTGTGCCCACCGTGTGCATGGCATCATGTCCCTCGCTGTCCACTGTCCCTCTTCGAGTGTCGCCAGGCCTGGGGGTGAGGATTGAGGGGGAGGCTGGGCTCCTTCTTTGTCTCCTGGCTCTCCAGCTGCTGAGGGGGGAGGGAGGGGGCAGCAGGTCAGCCAGCCCGAGTAGGGAGGTTTCCTGCTGGGAAAGGCTGTTGACAGGTATGCTCAGAGCACAGTGGAAGGCTGCCCTCCATCCCCCTGCCCTGAGTAGGGGTGAGTAGCCTGAGTCCTGTCTGCCACCAGCTTGGGGAACTTGACCTCAGGAAGGAAGCCCCTCCCGGCCCCCCTTCCTTTGTGAGTGCTGAGAGCTGCCACGGGCCTGAGTCTCTCCAGGCCTCTCCCGCTCAGCCCCCTGCCCTCCCCTGCCGGCCCCTCTCCAGGATCCTCCTCTCCGCGGAGGAGTCAGGCTGCCCACCTCGGGGTTCTGGTGACAGGGTTGGGGAGGGGGACAAGGACCTTCCTTTCAGGAATGGCTCGAGGGACAGCAACCACTGAGCTAGGCACCGACAAGCCCTGTCAGTCAGATCCCCCCTTTCCCCCTCTCAGAGGACCCGGTGTAGCTAATGGCCACAGATCCCCGAGGAAGGGAGACAGGAAGGGAGAGAGAGAAAGAAGGGACAGGCCCAGGGCTCTCTCGGTGGTCTGTCCACTGTCCAGGGCCTTGGGGGGCGGGGGGGAAGGCAGTGGGCTCCTGCCGCCCAGTTCCTTCCCAGCCTTACTCCCTTTCATCCTCTCCCTCCCCTGGTCCCGCCTTGCTTCCCAGACATAGATGAGTGTCGCCTCAACAATGGGGGCTGCGACCACATTTGCCGCAACACAGTGGGCAGCTTCGAGTGCAGCTGCAAGAAGGGCTACAAGCTCCTCATCAATGAGCGCAACTGCCAGGGTGAGACAGAGAGAGAGAGAGAGAGAGAGAGAGAGAGAGAGAGAGAGAGAGAGAGAGCACGCCTGCACCAGGGGCCAGTGTCCCTGTGGCTCCCAGGACTTGGGAGTCTCCACACCGGGCATGCAGCCTGGCAATGAGGGAGGGAGGGCGGGCTTGGCCCAGTCTCCCCCCGGGACGAGGCCTGCACAGGTACACAGGGGCCCTGGTGCACAGGCACCAGCTCCCACTGCTCCTGGCACGTGAGGGCATGGGCTCTGCTGAATGCTGGTCCTGGGTGGGGAGGAGCGCCAAGACCCCTCCCCTGGGCGGGGCCCCGCATCAAGTGGCTGGAGCCTTCAGGTCTTCTTCCAGACATAGATGAGTGTTCTTTTGACCGCACCTGTGACCACATATGTGTCAACACGCCTGGGAGCTTCCAGTGCCTCTGCCGCCGTGGCTACCTGCTCTATGGCGTCACCCACTGCGGGGGTGAGTGCCCGACTGGGGGAGTGGAAGGGAGGGAGTTCCGGAGGCCAGCTGGGTGGCCGGGCCCCCCCCTCGCCTCATTCTCTGCACTCAAACAGCCCCACAGTCAGTACCAGTGGAAGGCTTTGGAAGGCGGGTCAGCCTGGCCCTTTCTCAGAGATGGAGGAGGTCCTAGGTTGAGCTCTTCTCAGGGGTTGGCTGCCCTCCCGGGGTGCCCACTCCCTGGCTGCCCCCTCCTGTCTGTGTCCCCAGATGTGGATGAGTGCAGCATCAACCGGGGAGGCTGCCGCGTTGGCTGCGTCAACACGCCTGGCAGCTACCAGTGTACCTGCCCGGGAGGCCAGGGCCGGCTCCACTGGAACGGGAAGGATTGCACAGGTGGGCAGCACCCTCTGCCGGTCACTCCTGGCACTGCAGTCTCAGGAGCATGTTGAGTTAGCCTGCTGGGGAAGGTTGATTTGAGGTGGACCAGGGTGGAGGGAGTAGCCATCGGAGTTGGAGACAATGTTCTTGGTAAATCATACCACCAGCCTCTGCAAGTAGACTGGCAGTTCTCAACGGACCCAGTGGAGGGAGCGGGTGGGTGAGGAATTGAAACGCCCTGGTCTCCTTGGGTCTCTCTTCCCTCCCAAACCGAGAATCAAACCCGCCAACACAGAGGGGTGTAATGCATAGCGACTCTGTATCGGACACAGTAGAACTGCCCAGAGTGGCACCAAGATGGTGGTAATCTTTACGGAACAGACGGCCTCAGCTTTCACCCCGGGAGCAACCGAGGGCTGAAACCACTTTGGTTAGCAATGGGGCGCTAACCACTGCTCCATCAGGGCAACTTTCTCCCCTCCCCAGAGCCTGTGAAGTGCCAGGGAAGTCCGGGGGCCTCCAAAGCCATGCTCAGTTGCAGCCGGTCTGGCAAGAAGGACGCCTGTGCCCTGAGTTGCCCGTCGCGGGCCCGGTTTTTACCAGGTGCGGGAGGGGATGGGAGGAAGGAGAAGGTGGGCTGTTGTGGCCTTGCCTCTGCTCCCCACCTCCACCCTCCCGGGAGCCAGAGCAGTGACGGGCCCCTTCTCTCAGAGTCAGAGAACGGTTTCACCGTGAGCTGTGGCACCCCCGGTCCCAAGGCCGCTTCAGCCCGAGCCAGCCACTCTGGGAACAGCTCCAGCACTAGCCACTGCCATGGTGAGCACCAGCCCAGAGCCGTCTGCCAGCCTACGCCCCACACGTTACGCCTGCATGTCTCCTCTCCCCTCACCCCTCTGGCCTGTTTCCTGGACCCCCTTCTCTGGTTCTATAATTCCCTGATCCTGCAGCTTCCCTCCCACATTCCCTAATCCCCTTGCCCAGGCAGCCAAGC